GTATATTGATCAATTGATAATTGGCCACGGCATATGAATAATTTAAATCGAGATTCTAACGATTTGGTTTCTGTTTGTATCAAAAATAGTGCCAGAAGCCATCCTCCGCGCTCTCGAATACATCAAAAGCCACCCAGCACCAGAACAACAATAAATTGACCAAGTGAACAGTGATGAAGCAGTTTAGTCAGCTTTCGTTTTAACATTGGGTCTTTGGATAATAGCTTTTTTTATTTTAAACATCCTTTTTGATGAGAGAAACAAAAACATTGAATTAGATTAACATGTCGAGTGGTAATCGTGATTTAGCGATTTAATTATCAATTATTTTAAGCAAATTGTGTAATTTACGAGGTACGCCTTTTGTGCCCGACCAATTGATGTGAAATGTATCTACTGCAGTAGATACATGTATAACACTGCCCAATACTCATCTTTTTTATTCAAATCAATAAAATAAAACTGTCTACGGAAACGGAGGCACAAAAATATACAAAAAAAAAAAAATTACGACCATATATATTATTGTTTGAACAAAGCGCTTAAATCTTAGGCTTTTTCATTAATCCCATTTGGATGCAAATAAAAATAAAAGTTATCGAAAATATGGTCATAAAAGTTCACAAAATACGCACACGAATTCTATTAGCATCTTCATCGTAAACGAGAATAAAACCAATAACATGATGTAATTTACTCAAATTCTCAACGAGAGAGCTACTTATTGACTCTACAATTTTAGAATCGACAACGATTCCAATGCTTTATTTGCTTAATTCGGTCATCCGAATACTACGAGCAAATACTCTAATGAAAAATCCAAAACGCATCGCTTATAATAATGACTTTGCGGCACCAGTTCATGTGCTGAAAACTGAACCAAAATCAAAATTATTATTGATATGTTTTTAACACCATGATTAATCGCTGTCCAAAAAAGGAAGTCGTAAAATATTAGAGTTGTTGATTCAAAGAAGCGCCTTTAAAAACCTGCAACAATTTCTTTCAATGCTAACAGTTGGTTAGAGATTATTTTCTGAAGACCCTACACAGAGAAGAGATTTTTCGAAAACTTCAATATTAAACTGAGTGACAATTAATTTGGCAAACTAGTTCATAAATTGTCACATCAACAATTTGCAAAAATGTCCATATTTTGAAAGTATTGTGCTTTTTGAGAGACAATCAACACATGAATTTGGAAACTCAATTCACAATTTTGGGATTTCTGCCGAAAATATTATGCAAAATATTATTTTGTTCCTGTTTGAGCCGACGCGTTGTCGATTGACGCCCGATTACAACGATAGAATTATGCAAATAATAATTTAAAATGAGTTGGTGATATACTACCCCGCCAAAATGAACATAATATTTCGCACATAAATTGTTGGTGCCACCGAAACACACTGTAATATAAACGATGGTGGTATATGAATCTGAATGCTGATCGCGTTCCTATTTCGGGTTCTGATGGGTTTGTGAAGTTTGTCTCCAATCCAATCACATTTTTAGGGAGAGGAAGAGAGAGAGAGAGAAAGAGAGAGAGAGAGAGAGAGAGAGAGAGAGAGAGAGAGAGAGAGAGAGAGGGAGAGAGGGAGACTGTATGGAAAATGATTATTTTCATGAAATATGCATATGAATTATCGCCCCACCCGTTATGCAAGTTGAATTTCGTTTTTTTTTTGAATAATAAAATAGGAAAATATTTCTCCGTCGCATACATCTTTCACGTTACATTTAGGTTTACATTTCATACGCCGATGAAGGCTGGTGCAGTTGCATTATATCCATATAGACAGAATAATCCGGTTGATAGAGCTTATGATTATTTAAGAAGATTTCTGTTCCATTCATATAAAAATGGCACTGAACTGGTTTCATTTTTCATAATACCATGCTTCCAAAAATCACTCACTCTAACCGCCGATTAATATTACCATATTCGGATACGACATGGTCATCGAAAATGTTCACCCATTGTTGTTGCTTTCAATTGACGATTATCAGTTGCGGCTTCTTTTGGTCCATTTTATGAATAACGCCGCTGTCAACATCACATCGGCCGATACAGCCGACGAATGAGATGAAAGATCATGGGGAATGCCAAAAGCGTTCGAATATTTGTGACTTATTGTGTGTGTATCCGATAGAGAGAAAACTATAACAGTGTCACATGTCCATTCGCCACACGCACTCTTTTTTCATTCGCAGGCGGCAGTAGCGATCGATCCAATTTTTTTGGTATAAATATTGGACGCGGCCGAGCTTTTGACATCAGAACACAATTTGTGATCAGTGATAAAACATCATCAAAAAAAATCAAAATGAACAAAATCGTGAGTAAAATTTTTGAAATTCGTCTGTTACAAAAAAGGACCGAACAAAATCCAAAATAGTCCCTATTACGAAATTGTTGGTTTGGATCAATTTTCTTCTGCGATTGAGATCAAAGTGAATTCGATTTTCCACTGGGAACATGTGTTTTATGGCTGTTGTCCTTTTCGAATCGATCAGAATGTCAAATCATTTGTTGTTGATGTAATACAGAAAGTATTGTATACTAATTTTACCTTTCGTAGGCTATTGCCTTCTTCGCTCTCATCGCTGTGGCCACCGCTGCCCTCCTCCCAGCTGCATCATCCGATTCTCAAGCCACCGTTCTTCGTTCAAACGCCGTCGTCAACCCAGACTCATACAGCTATGCCTATGAAACCTCAAATGGAATTGCCGCCAAAGAACAAGGACAGCTGAAACAAATTGGATCAGAATCAGGCATCGCTGCTCAAGGATCATACCAATACACAGCACCAGACGGTACTCCAGTCCAAATTCAATATGTAGCTGATGAGAACGGTTTCCAACCACAAGGTGCAGCAATCCCAACGCCACCACCATTGCCAGCCGCTATCATCCGTGCTTTGGAATATCTTGCCCGCAACGCTCGTCCACAATAAATCAACAATCCAAGTGCTTTAAACAATTTTTAAAATAGTCAATTTCGAAACCACCAAATAAACATCCAATAAATCAGCAAATCAGATTCAATTTTGTAGATTCAATTCGTCCAGAATAATGATTTGATACTACCAGAATAAAACCAATTAAAAAATTGAAAAAAAACCAAAACGACTTTTTTCTATTCAACCCTTTACGATATTTGTGACATATATGGATCATATTTTGTTTTTGGCATGTATTTCTCACATTTTAGAACCGATTTTGATAAAATTGGTTTCTTTTGATAGAGAATGAATGTAGCTACACACAGAAGAAGTTGCCTCGGGAAGTTGATATGTTCGCCATGAAACAAGGATTTAATGTATTGGTTCCTCGATATTTCTATATAAATTTTACCGGCATCACCGTAAATATGAACCGGCGTTGACATAATTTCACATATGCCATCTCCCAATTCACCGGGGTTTCTTTTCTGTATGTATCTATAATAAAATATTTATTTAAATTTCTTCATTTAACTGCATTTACAATTAAAAGTGTTCTTTAGCATATGTTTTTTACATTGTTTGTCGACTTAAATTCTATTGGAAGTGTGATGGAAATTAGAAAGTACTATAATATTGGATATTTGTTAAAAAGAACACTTCAAACTCGAAAACCCTTCGATTTTAAATTCAATTAGCCTTTTGTGATTTTTTGTGTTTGGAAATCCCTGAAAAATGGTACAAATCATTAAGTCGTTGAAAAATGGAAAGTGTTCACCTATTTCCGTTTCGTTTCAGTTTTTTCGTTTAGAGTTTTAACTAACCATATTGACTCAAAATATTGATGTGGTCATGGTCCAGTCAAACCTAGAACGAAATTGTGGTTTCACATAAATTATGCATATTCTCTCATATAAATAATTTTGAAACATATTCAAGCAGTCACCTATCCATGTATGATGCCTGATTATTTTGTTTAGTCTTTCTTTTTATTTTGTGTTACCATAAATGCAAATCGTCTTTTTTCTCGTTTCTATGAGAAAGACGCGACGACAGAAGATGAAAAAAAAAACATAACGAATAGGATGAAATGATAATCAAACTATCTAAATATCGTTTATATAGAGATTGGTAAATTATGCGCACGCACTGTGAACCCTTGTAGTTCGAATATGAGTGAAATATTTTAATTAATATGTACATGTATGCTTAATTTTATGATATTTATGCTGAATACGACTAGTAACAGCAGATAAAACAAGCGAAAGCTAGGTCCGATGAATAAATAAAGAGGTAACATTTATCTAAACTTCCAATTGAAATATTTTATTTTTATTTTATTTAACACCGCCAAGCTCTGGCTGAATATATTATAATAGAATAGAGGTGTAGACGGAAAAGAGTGCAAGATTTTTACATCAATTTTTACTAATTTACAATATAACTTTCAGTTCTCGCCTCGTTAGAAACCTGGATCTTTTCGTAATCTTTTCACCATTTACACAATAGGACATGAAAACAAAACACAGTCATACAACCAAGATGGAAATGCTTGATAGTAGTCAGATAGCAAACGGTCCAAAATAACCTTTGGTAAACGTTTCCAAAGGGACAAAGGCTATGTGGAGCGTTAAATGTTACGCGTTTAATTTGAGACTTTGAGACTGCAAAAGTCGTCACTCAATATATACAGTAGATAAATTGACCAGAAGTTTTACGTCGGTTGGGCAGATCCATGTTGATTGAAGAGTGGTTTAAGATTATCATTGAACCATGATTTGAAGCATAAAAGAGCATTCTATGCTATTAAGTGGTTAATTCAAAATTGAATAGAATTTGGGAAAATAGCTCGCCAACTCGACGGATGGCTATAACACTGATCTATATCTAATTTACAATATATAGGTGTAAAGATCACAGATAGGTATCATTATTTCTATAGAAACATATACGAGGAATGTTAGTGAACAATTCGTCAGTCTTTTTAAATGAAAGTTAATGTTATCGAATAAGAGCTGAATTTCAAACGGATATGAAATAATATTTTATGGTTTTGCTTTTGCTTTTGATTTTATTCATTCAACGAAAAGAACAAATTCTTGGGCAAATATTTGCCAAGCTTAGTTCACATACTGGATTCAAGCTAATAAGAAAAATAAACTCCGAAGAAAATAATCATTTGGACCAACCAAAATATTCGTTTGTCAGAGTTCGTCAAAGTTCATTTCAACTGCTGACATGTCAATTGTCTTTCGATTCCATACCATTAAAATATTACGATCTATATAATCTATACTCATTTTTTCTTCTTTTAAAACTGTCCTTCATTGAACGGTGGACTCAATTGGTCAAATTTCAAACAAAATCACCTTGTCACTCCTTTTTTTGTGTTTCAATGAAGAAATTTTGAATGACAAATATGATTTACTGTTAGGTTTATGAACAAGTTGTGAATAATTCCGAAAAGGTCACCGATGAAATAATACTGCGTGCACATTGGCTGTCCGAACAATGTTTGCTACTTTCGATTTTTATGCATTTCGTTGGAATTAGCATTTTAGAGCTATTTAAATGAACAAAGCGCCATTGAAATATTTTAGGCTCGAATCGTTGGCATCTCAACAAAAGCAGAACAATGTTTAATGATGCTTGAAAAGGTGACGAGAGAACAGATGATTTAACCAAAGAGAAACAAATAGAAATGATTCTTATAAACAAGACAAATTCTATATATTGAGAAGTTGATGTTCCAATCGTTTTTACCTGAAAAAAACTTGATTTTATGCTAAATTCGTTGTTGTTTTGTCTCGTAGGATTCCACCGAACGAAAAAAAAACAGTGTCGTCTCGAAAACCTAGTTTCGCTTTTGCGTTTGTATTGTCTGATTTTTTCTCGACTCTCTTTTTATTCATTCGCAGACTTTATCAAAATTATTGTGCATTTTTGTTTTTAATTTTTTGTTCGTTTGTTTCATTTCATCGTCTTCATATCAAAGAATCATATGAAAAACAGAGATGAAGCAAAAAAAGACAGGTCAGCTAAAGCACAGTGTGATAAGGTCAAAACGGAACAATTTTTGGTATAAATAAGCGTTGCAGCGCCTTGAGAAGACATTAGAAGTTTATTTGTCAAAACAAAAACAACAAATCCAAAATGAAATTCGTTGTGAGTATCAAAAGACAAGACACAATTTTTTTTTCTTCTGAGAATCAGGTGTCGGTTTGCCAGTGAAACAATTCAGTAGTGTAAAAATGATCATCCAATTTTCAAGTGTTACAATGGAGGATCAATTTTGGGATAAACGTGGATTTACAATCCAGTGTATATCGGCCAAGTTGAATTATTATTATTTGTTTTCGCATTTGAGCTGTTTAAATGTGTGAAACTTGTGTGGTTCATATGCGATTTTTCCCAATTACAGGCTATTGCATTTTTTGCTGTTGTAGCTGTTGCCTATGCTCAACACCCAGATGCTCAAGCTGAGACCCTTCGGAATGAAGCCGTTGTCAACACAGACTCATTCAACTACGCATATGAGACCTCAAACGGAATTGCCGCCAAGGAACAAGGCCAATTGAAACAAATCGGTTCAGAATCAGGCATTGCTGCTCAAGGCGATTACAGTTACACTTCCCCAGAAGGCGAGAAAATCCAATTGAGCTATATCGCCGATGAGAACGGTTTCCAACCAACGGGCTCACATTTGCCAGTCGCCCCAGCAGTGCCAGAAGCTATTGCTCGTTTGGTCGAGTACCTTGCTTCCCACCCACAAACCCAACACTAAAAACCTTCCCTTCAATAAATCCCAAAAACACAATTCCCAGAATCAACTTGAACCAACATATTACAGCAGTTCATTCAACTCATGTAAATAATGCTCCGTTGTAACTGCCTGAAATATGTGAATTTCCACAACTTGAAATAAATTAAAAAAAAAAAAACCAAATCTATTTGTTTCATTTCTTCGAATGCTTGAATATTCTCTTTATTTTGATACACTTGTACTTCTGATATTGTATTAATCATTCCACAAATGGATTCATAGATGTGTGAATTTAATTCCAATAAGTATGTGTATAACGCTATAAAAACCATCGATTATTTCTCACAGCTCAAATAATTCCATAAAAAGTATATAATAATAAATATTTCCCTGAAATAATGTTTGATAATTGAATATTTGACTTTTCGATCGATTTGAATGAATATTACTGCGGACAGTAAAGCTCAAAACGTTGATCTTGGAAATGAGTAAATCATTTCATCATATAAAGTATCATATTTGCACTTAATTAAAAAAATTTAATTTGCATTTAAAACAAATAAAGGAAATTCAATTCAAACAGATAAAATGCAAACAGACAAAGTCTTTTTTTTTCTCGGGTGCTATCAACTCTTTTTTTTCTCTCAAAGCTAACTAGAATAATCAACATTCAAGCCATGCATCGTTTTTATATTGAGATAAATCCATAAACCGGCAACGTTTATTTGACGAACTGTGAATCAAATGCAAATTTTACAGGTTTTTGTTTGAGTGAAAGAGAAGCCAAATACAAACTGGACTACCTTGCGAAGGAATCAGCTGTGAACAGTTGGAAACTGACACAAATTTGTTAGGAATATCGATAAATTACGAATTCGTTTTCTTATTTTTATTCAAAAATACATGAAATTATGCAGAATTCAATTCTGCCTCTTAATTGTGAAATCTAGATATGACGAGAATCATTTTGAATGAAAGTACGAATATGAATACGGCTTAAAACTTATTTTGACTCAATCCAGAAAATGAGCACAGATTTTATTGGGTGTATAACTTTGCTTCCGCCGTTTTTTTTTTCAATTTTTGAGGCTTTATTGTGAAAAATTTGTACAATATAATTAATTCAAAGTACTGTCCATCGGAAGCTATGACTTTTCCCCATCTTTCTGGTAATTTATGGATTCCGTCCCAAAAAAAAACTGTGTCGGCTTGGCGGCCAAAAAGGAATCAAGCCAATTTTTGACTTTTTTGAAAACAAGTGAACCGTCCTCCACTTAGGTGATATTGAATCGACTGAAACCAGTGGTAGTAAGAAAGCGCAATGTCTGGAGATTACAGCGGGGGCATAAAGGATTTTCAAAATTAATAGCTTCTTAGAAATTTTGGACTTGATAGCCAAAAAGTCGTTAAATTTTTTTTCTCAAAATTCGCTTCTTTTGCGGCGATAAGTCAATTTTTCGATTTTGCTGTCAGAAATTGGTATATATCGATTAGTTTCTGTTAGGAACGATAAAAACTTACATTTTGTTAAGTTTCTTCCACCTTCCGATGCACCATATCTGCCCCGACCCCGCAAATATGGAAAATCACCCTTTTTCGAGGGAGTGATTGTGGCACCCCCTATAATGACGAGTAACCACGATCAAAATGTGGTTTGATATGCTTGTGTCTATCGAGAAACGTCCATTCTTCACTACCAGTGTCCACTCGATAAAAGAATAATCTATTTTTCACATTTTTCCCGTATGAAAAAAACTGCTCCCGCAAATGCTGTTTTTTTGGCACGAACTCGGACATTTTTGAGCACAATAAAATTTATGATGCAGATAAAAATTTACAAATGTGGTGATGCAGAATTGTTGATAAATGCCCAAGCTTACCGTATGACGTTTTAGAGCTGATATTTTTCACCAGCACTTACCGCTGGAGCCATCTGTTGGAAAACGGCGGAAGCAAAGTTATACACCCAATATTTAAAATCGGCATATTTTCGATGTGGATTTTTATGAATCAAAAGGGTATTTCTTTTCCTAAGCTAATTGATTTCTCTGCAAATAAAAATGTATTTTAATAATAAAAAACATACAAAAGGGAGCAATCAATCTTTTGACTAGAACGAACGCGATCTAACATAATGCCCGTTACTCATTTTACTGTACATTTAGATAGTAGAGCTTAAAAAAAAGTTCAACACTATGCATAAACTTGGAAAGAGCTTGATAAACTTGATAAAATACATATATTTTTGATCGTGGCTAGTGCCCAATGAAAAATACAAATTAATTAAAGTTTTTATTGATCATAAGGAAATAAATTCATTTATCATCTTGCTAAATGCAAATCATTAAAGGAGTTCTAACGAATGCATTTTCAGGTATTAAAACATAAACCACTTAATATATACATATAATGAGAAGCATTTTAATGCATTGTTTTCGACCATTCTCGATATCGACAATTGACAGCGTAAACATCTCAAGATTGTTTTAATTGTGATTGAGTCTGATATGTGACATTCAAACAAAGATATGGTATATTGTTATTTACACCTGAGCATGTCATCACGTCAAAACTAGATATGTATTGTGTTTTTTTTTTTTTTCAGTTTTCGTTATCGCTTAGACGAATCGCACAAAAATTTATTCATTGCTATGATTTAGTAAGAATTCAGCTGCATAAAAAAAAAGTTGAATCTCAAGTTTCTATTTACATTTATATGGCGGAAAAAACGATATATTTTCAACTCTTTTGACTCCTCCATTCGCGGTTCAGCAATTATCACACATTTGGAGCGTCAAAATTATATTTTTTTTGTTGTAATTTTTTTTTTTGCATAACCTAATGCGAGCAGATAGAAGTGAAGAAAAAAACTAACGACTTTGATAAGTTCATTCGTTGAGCGTATTTTTGGTATAAATACGGTATCAAAACTGTGATAAAGCATAGAAAGCATTTTGTGCTCTTGTGATCAAAAACAAAAAATCAACCAAAATGAAATTCGTTGTGAGTATTCCAATGGAATTTATTTTTTTAGCGTGAAAAATATGAAAATATAAAAAACATTTTTGAAATAAATACAAAATTTGTGTGGAAATGCAAAAAAAAACCTATTGAAATTTTAAAAAAAAGTCAGTGTCGATTTGAAGTTGTTAGAGTTCTGAACGAAGCCTCATTGATCGTTATTCGATTTCCAACTCCGATGAAAACTCGACACTGGCCATTTGATAGATGCAAAAATTTGTTATTGTTTTACGTGTTTTTCTTTGTGTTTTCAATCGCAGGCCATTGCATTGTTCGCTGTCGTAGCTGTTGCCTACGCTCAACACCCAGACGCTCACGCTGAAACTGTTCGCAACGATGCCACCGTCAACGTCGACTCTTACAACTATGCTTATGAGACCTCAAACGGAATTGCCGCCAAGGAACAAGGCCAATTGAAACAAATCGGTTCAGAATCAGGCATTGCTGCTCAAGGCGATTATAGTTACACTTCACCAGAAGGCGAGAAGATCCAATTACAATACGTAAGTGACACTGCACATGGAACTTTACTCACTTAATGCCAACGCTATAAAAAATGATGATCTGAAATTACAGGTTGCTGATGAAAATGGTTTCCAACCACAAGGATCACATTTGCCAGTCGCCCCAGCTATTCCAGACCATATCACTCGTGCTTTGGAATACATCCGTTCCCACCCAGCTGCTCAACAATTCTAAACTTGTATAGCATGTGATTCCATTGTAGAAAAAAACCCTCAAAACGATAATAGACAAACACAAATCGTAAGACTTGCAGCTGTTACACCAAAATGGTTGCATTTTTTGCGATCATCACCCAAAAAATACTTATTGAAATAAAGTTTAACTGCCTTTTTCCTCGCATCTACTTTGAATTTTTTTCTGAGAAAAAAATGCAAATTAATAGTACATCTCATTTTTAAGACGAACTAAAATCCAGGAAATGATTTGTTGACATCGGTGAGCATTGGATGGCACAAAGGATCTTTATATCTGTAACGTCGAATCTTGCTTTGTGGCACTTTGCTTCTAGTACTTTGCATAGATACAAATGCAGCACATCTAACTGAAACCCAATATCGTGTTAATCTTCCTGATTTGAAGTGAGGCTCTTAATTTGTCGAAAACTGTAGCGATCGTGCTTTTGCGGACATCACATTTTTTAAACCTATAATTAAATGAAGTTCGATTGTTGATCCATGCCACAATTCTGCTTTTGTAATATCTTGCAATAATATGCACCCATTTCCTCGTTGTCATTGCTTTTAACACACAAAAGAAGCAGAAGAAACATTTTATCAGACACTCACTTCGAAACGTTGTCTTATCTACACTTCAATTTACACTATACAACGCTATACTTCAAGGTCTATGAAAGCGGTATTTTCCATGTTGAAAATTAAAGTACAGATAAACCTTAGCACTAGCAATCTGTACCATTTTTCATCAGGCGTCTCCACTCGCATTGAGTTTGTATTGTGAATGTTAAGGTGCGTGCAACGCCCTTCAATGTAAAAAACAATACAAGTGGAGATGATACACGAGATTTATCTGTACTTTACCGTCTAAGTCGTTCTAAATAAAAATTGTCTATGACGTATTCAACAGTTTTTACGACGCGATTATTTTGCATGAAACATTGAAAACGACTATAACTCTTCACGTAATTTGGAAACTAAGCGTGGGCTTCGAAATTATGTTTGCAATTTTTTGTCGCTATTTTTTGTTTGCATAATTAATGATGGAGATGGAACAAATATAAATGGCACCCGAAATCTACCACCACCGTTTGTATCGGCGTTGATCCAATTTTTGGTATAAATACGGTATCAAAACTGTGATAGAGCATAGAAAGAATCTTGTGCTCTTGTGATCAAAAATAAAAAATCAACCAAAATGAAATTCGTTGTGAGTACCAAAGAAGCTTACTTATTGAAAAATTGAGTGAGAAAAAAACCAAACAAGATATAAAAAGTGAAAATGAGAAGAAAAAAAAATTAAAATATAGAACAAAAAATGGTGTTTGAAACAGAATAGAAGAAAAAAAGAAGTGTTTTTTGGTTCGAAGTGAATTGAGTTTTAAACGGATCTTATTTTCATTCCAGGCTATTGCATTGTTCGCTCTCGTTGTTGGCGCATACGCCCAACACCCAGACGCCTCTGCTCAAGTCTTGCGCAACGATGCCGTCGTCAACCCAGACTCATTCAACTATGCATATGAGACCTCAAACGGAATTGCCGCCAAGGAACAAGGCCAATTGAAACAAATCGGTTCAGAATCAGGCATCGCTGCTCAGGGCGATTTCGGTTACACTTCCCCAGAAGGCGAGAAAATCCAATTGAGCTACATTGCTGATGAAAACGGTTTCCAACCAACCGGCTCACATTTGCCAGTCGCTCCAGCCATCCCAGCACAAATCGCTCGTGCTTTGGAATACCTCCAACATGCCGCTCCACAACAATCACAACAACAATTCGTTTCACCAAACCAATTGAAAATCTTGGCTGGCAAATAAGAACTAAATAGTGTGAGATAAACTACTCTTGTAGTTGCAGTTCATTCTCAAAAATACAATAAACCAGTTGTCCAAATTATGTAACCGCTGTTTTTATTATTCTCCTTCTCTCTTAATTTTGTTCTCTAATCGTTTGAATAAGCCATTCTCGTGCTCTTAATATGGATGAATTTGCGAATGGGCGGTCAAAAATTCAACGAAATATTCATTTTTAGATACAATTTTCGTCTTAGATCGTCATCATCACTGCCGTCATATGGTAGAGTGCTCATCGTATCAATCAATAATGTTTTTTTATTCATAACGTCAATACAATAAGAGATTTGTTGATTTTAGAAGAATAGACGCCGATTAACACATTGCAATGCCATAGATGTGCAGTGAACGTGGCTCAATAATCACTAATAATCCATAATGTATGGCACACCGAAGACAATTCCAATTCAACTACACAGCTATAAAAAAAAAATCCCATGATGACATTTACATTTAATTGATGATAATGAATAAAGTTTGTTAATTACATTGATTCCATAAAATAATAATCAAAACGATTCAGGTCTGTTCGAAGGTAGAAAGCTCGAATTCGAACGGTGTGCATGAATTGCGGCGTTTGATAGAGAAGGAAGGCACACACACACCCACCGTGTTTTCTGTCCGTCCAATTCCATCTAATGCTACGCATCTTTCGGCAAGATAATAATTAACTCAAATTTATCGTTTAATTAGACCAGTTTTTCGATTATGAAATTCAAATTGAATGACATTTTGCAGATTGCATGTCATGGGGCAGCGCGCATTCGATTTGCTCACACACTGCACAATATAAAGTGCGAATGTTTCTCGAGCCGATTGCAATCGTCGGTAAAAAGTGTAGCCAGTCGAACGTTTACGTGAAGTTTAACCATGGTAAAAACATAGAGAAAATTCCTCCTGTGCATTTAATTTTTTGTTTCTTGCCTTGAGGCTCTGCCATCTATAGATTTCAATCAATTTCATTTCTATTTCATTGCAAATTTGATTGATAAATTGGTGCGCGGTGAAGGTTTTGCAGGCGGTGAAAATACTTTTGATTGGATTTTTTGGATTGGCATTGGTTCGTGCACAGGATGACGGTCGATATCGTCCATCAGGCGACGATGGAAGGTGAAAGTGATTTTGTTTGATAGAAATTGTAAACTTAAAGCTTAAAAGTATCGTTTTTTTCGTTTCGATTTGTAAAGATATCGCGGGGACAATGATGGTCGATATACTGGCACCAATGGCGAATACCTTCATCAAGGCGGTGGCGGCTCAGGAGGAGGAAATTTAATTGTAAGCATTGGGAATCGACCGGCACCGAAAGCCACTACAACAAAGTCTCCACCGCCGCCACCACCACCAACTCCACCCGTGTATGTCATTGATCCTCAAGGAAGTGGCGTTGTTGTCAATCAGGTGCAAGAACCCGCAACTTTAGGAGCAGCCGCAGCCGATATTCAAATTCTGCGTCAAGAGCACGAAGAAACTGAAAATGGATATCGTTATGTGTAAGTGAGCGCTTTTGTTCTATAAAGCGCCTAATTTTAGGCAAATTCCGCAAATTCGAACAGAGTAACTTTTTGCGAAATTGTGATCATGTGTGCTTTCTTGCCCAGTAAAGTTGTGAGCATAAAGTTAAAATGTGTTGAACTTTTGTCCGAAAAAGATATGAGACCCAAAATGGAATACTTGCCGAAGAAACAGCACAAATTGAAAAAACTGAAGAAGGCAAAGATGCTTATCGCAAAGTTGGCTACTATCAGTATCTCGGCGATGATGATATTTTGTATCGAGTTGATTATGTGGCTGATTCCAATGGATTCCAACCGACGGTATGCATTTTTTCAATCAAGTGATTTTGAATTGAAAGAAAAAAGAAATATTTTGGAATGTTGCTTTTTCAGGGAGATCATTTACCTACGCCACCGCCAATTCCGCCAGAAATCCAAGAACTACTGAATAATTTAGCAACCAAACAACCAGACGCCGCACAAAGAAGAGGATTCTGATTTTTGAAGATATTTGAACATGATTCGTGCAGTCGGCATGTGGCCAAGCAGATATTGTTCTTTATTGATGCTATACAAATACAAATGATCGAAACATTGTTGGATGACCAATGGTGCAATGACTCCAATGGTTCATTTTACTTTGTTCCTCTTCTTTTCGTTCCTTTCGTGTATTCATGATTCAATAAAAGTGTTCAAAGCAACCGCAAATCAATAAACCAGGATAAATTTTCTTTTGTTTTTTGTTGTTGTTTTTTTTTGTCTCCTTTTCTTCTGTTTTGCAATTGGGAACATTACAACAGTTTGAGTCCTACCGTAAATTGTGTCTGTAATTCGAAAAAGAATGTTGATGATTTTTTTTCTTTTTTTTAACGAAAAAAAAAATACAAAATTTACATATATCCGAATGAATTACTAGTACTATATCCAGTTCACTACAGAATAAAAAAAATGACGCAATCGTTCCATGAAGTGGGAGCGAAATTTGAATCGTGATGACATTCATAAAATTTGAAATCAACAAAAAAACGAAAGAAGTTAATAAATATATAAAAAATATTGTGATCTCTGCATTGCATTGTGATAGGTTAGTGAATGTTGGCTTTTTCGATGCTACCACGTCGTGTCGGTTGTCGCCACCATTGTCATCATCGTAGATCATCAATTTTTGAATTCATTGAAATGGATTTCGCCGCTCGTTATTTTCAAAGTTCGATATAACTATTCATACCGGCGGTGGTAGTAACGAATAATATTAATGAATTCGCCTAGTCCTAGACGGTTTAAAGACTTAGACGGGCTTTTCACACAAAACAACAAATGGGTCTTATACAAAATGCCAATAGTGCGATGAACGGATCTTCATCATGGTATGATATTGATGATCTGGCCAAATTGCGAGTGAATTTTTTTCTCACTCTCAATGTCGAGAAATTCGTTGCAGCACAGTAGCTACAAAGAAAGAAAAAAAAAAACATTTGAATGCGACTATAAAACATTCAATTTGATTTGGAGTGTTTCTACAACGAATTTTTCGCTAATGACACATATTAGCCTATTAAGCCCGTATAAAACGCAAAGATTGTAATCAGCCAACGAATATCACTTCATTGATTACATTTGGAATGTGAAAATGATACAAAAGTCCAACACGACGACGACGACGACGACGACGACGACGACACAAAATCGACGATAAAAATCTGAGATGCAAAACGCCAGCCATAGGCAACAGTCCAATTACATATCGAGAATAATCCGAATGCGCTATAAAAAGACATCGTCCGAAGACAGTCGTTCGACCCTGTTCAACGCACGTACACGCACACATAGCAAAAAACAGGCATCGTGTTCTTTTTTCGGTAAGTCGCCCTTTTGGACATTTTTGAATATGTTTTTTTATTTCGTTATTAAATATAAACCTAAGGTTCAAACAAAATCATCAATTTGAAACTGAAACTGCATCTGATTTCGGCGACATACACACACACACACACAAGACATTGCAATGTGTCCAAAGAAAAAGAAAACATAAAAATTCGAATAAAATAGTCAGTTTGTTGCTTTGCACTCTTTCTCCTTTTTTCAAAAACACTCATCATTTGCAACAAATATAACACACAACAACTCAACACGACTCGCACAGAACATATCTACGCAACATTTTTACGGCATTTTTATGGACACAGTTTTTTGCTGTGATTTCTGACATGAATGACTACATTTTCGCCGAATGGTAAAACACTAAACAGTTTTTGGTTAAGCATAACGCTCATGCCGCGTAATGTTATCATATTTTCGCATGAATGGCGCACGTAATTATGTTGTTACAACGAAATGCTCAATCAAAAAAATAATACCGGATAATTTTGCGGTGTGATCAACTCACCGTGAAACGAGAAAAAGAAGAATATTTAAAAAAGAAATTAATTTTGGAAATATCTCTGACTTGATCAAGAAATAAACCAGCAAAATTCTATAATAATTTGAGCCATTTGAATTAGCACGTCGGCGCCACATGCAACACATATATTTCCTCCGCCCAAATTCGATAATAATTATTCGGGATTAAAATTTAAAAAAAAAAAAACAGTTCGGCAAAACATCATTGTGTGTCGCCGGATTTTTCGCAAACCCTTTTCTCTTCCTCCCACCTTTATCGCACACATATATTAATAACCATTTTGTTTCTTCATTTTAAGTGTCATCATTTGCTGATTTTTATCCCTCGATATCGAAAATCCATTGGATTCATTTAGCTATTGATCGAAATCGATTTCGCACGCTGAAATCCAATGCTATCATCTATGCAGTGTTTGTGATCATTGACCAGACCGTAATTAAAATAAGCATGACAATTAATACTCTTCTTGTTTTTCAGACAGTTCTCTTGGCGTCGTCGTCAGAATTAAAACGAACCTTCTGTTGAGCTGATATATCGTATAACAAAAAAAAAATATTATTGTTTTTTTTTCTGCATTGAAACATGAATATAAGCTGTAAAGTCGCTCGAAAATGTAAGAGAAAGAAAAAAAAAATGAATAAAAAACGACAGCACAGAGCCAATCGATGTGATCACATGTCTCAATGAAATTCCATTTGGTGTTAGCCACTGACGATAAAAATATATCTGAATTTCTTTTTCTGTCTTTTGGTTCTTTTCCCCTTTTCAACATAGTACTTTGGTTTATCTTATTTTACGTATTGCACGATCTGACAAACGTTTGGCGTTCTTCATTCGTTATCGATTTCGCGCGATTTAGCTGTTTTTTTTTTTGCTATACTATCTCGGTTCAGTCTCGTACATAATCATTTCGGCATGTTTGCGAGCACTTTTTCTTCACAAATGTCAACATATTCGTGTGACATACGTAAATTTGCATTAAAATAACCGACATCATCATCATCATTGTCGTCATCAATGGCGACCTTCGCGAACATTGATACTGATACCGATACCGATTTTATTACGAATCGTACAATGGCAACGACCAACTGAATCAAATGCTAGTAAATAAAAGCAGCCAACAGCAGAAAAACACGTTTGTTGCGCCATTTGTATGAAAGTATGCGCTTGCGCGCATATCTTTTCGCTTTTCGTCTCTCAATCTTGTCCCGTCTCCGGCGCTTTATTTATTTCATCCATAAACAAATTTCGCCGTATGACTCGCGCCAGCAAAGAAAGAAAGGTGGCGAATTTTCTATGTGACCAATACCGAAAATCGTTGAACTCGGGCGCGCTCGCGCGCACTTTGATAGCATTAATTTTTTTACCAAAAATGTTAAATCTGAAAAACAACAGCTTGGCACAAAATGGATTGGCGTTACCTCAAATGTAAATATTTTTCTGATGAAAATAACATAAAAAATATATTCTTTTCTCCAGATTTATCAGACTTTTATTTTAATTTATCAGTATTTTATTTTAATTTTTATTGTGATTCGATCAGTTTTTCTATTTATTTATAGCATTTCATGCAAAGAAGTTCAAAACACTCGAAATGGGTTAGTTTTTTTTTGTCATCACTTCATTCTAATCAATTTATAAAAATGTCAACCATCGTTGGAATGCACGAAAGAATCATTCTACATAAAATCTTTCCATGGCTATGACCTTAGAACATGTTTAAAATGCTTATCGGAATAGAAATCAGATTAATTTGGTGCAGGGAAAAAAAACACACAATGTGTGCATCTTTCAAGTTCCGTTGGTTCATTTTCATCACAGAAAGATTTATGAATCGATAACAAACCTTTTCGGTGTCAACAGCTCCCTCGAATCATTTATCAAAACCAAATAACCCAAAACATAAGCGATGCGATTTTTATCTCAACTCACAAAATGCCGACATCGAAACGTGAACACACACTTCCTTCTTCATTTACAAAATGATTCATTTAATTATAAGCAAGCGCGGCTCCCAATGGCTAACAAATCGTATCTCAATCGTTTTGGTTACGTAATGATTTCAAACATTGATTGGATTGTTTTTTCGCTTCTTTTTCTTCTTTTTTTTTCGCTGAATTAACCAATTTATTTCAATTAAATGTTATTTAATTGGTTATAAATAAGTTTTAAGGTAGGATAAATAGGAACCTTGTGTGTGAATTTATGTTCAAAAATAAAATGAATGTATTCATTCGCACAAGTAGCCAATAGATATATTGGATGAACATTGAAATGAAATTTAAAAAAACACACAATTGAAACACGCTTAAATGGCATTCTTTGAAAGTATTGAAGTGTATTAATAACTTGTATCTAGATAAAAATAATGCAAAAATCGTGTTAAGCAGACGATTGGAAAGAAACGACAAAACAAATTCGATTTATAATATCTTTTTATTTCGGACAAAGTCTCTCTCTATCTCTCAGTTTTGACTCGCGATCGGTGATCGGTGGGTTTATGTGGGGTTGTGACTGTTTCTGACATAGAACAACAAACATATATTTTGTTGGCTATAAACACACAAATTAGGATCAAAGCAAGACATCTTCATTTAGCGCACGGCGAGTAGTGATGAGTGGTAAGAACAAAAATGCCAATCATATTATTATTTTCTTTTTCTTTTTTCACTGTTTGCCACATAAACTTGCCCAATTAACATACCCGAATAGCATGGCTTAATGTACCTACAAACACCGAAATCGAAATTAACCAAGCTAATAATTGTTAATGACAAATCAATGATGTTGTGGTTGGTTTTTGCGACATTTAGATGAGAAAAAACGATGCGAATCAAACATTCGATCGTCTGGCCCATAAATTTCTTTACCATTTCACACAATTCACGTTCAAGTGCACAATTCATGGCATTCGTCATGCCTATAAATTCTTTGATACGAAGTTCGCGTGTTAATTTCCATCACGGCGTGAATGCAACAACGACGACAACCAATGCAAGCATCAACGTGAATACAACTATAAATATACAGTAATCGTTAGACAAACAAAGATATTCTCGTCACCATCATAAAAAAGAAACAACTAATGACCACTTTTTTTCTTTGCTTTAGGGGTAATTGCCATTGCTAGCGAAATTATTGCTATTGATATGATTGCATTTCACTTTTTGTAGCGGGTGCATTCCATTGTGATGACAACGACGACGGCGTAGTAGCCTGCACATCGTGCAATGCAATGTAATGCAAAACAAAGCTAAATGACACATCAAGGAAAAATGTCTTATTCAAATCTTATAAATAATATGAGCGTTAATTCCAAATGGCGTGAAAATAAAGTCTAAACGGTTGCGGTGGCGGAGGCTATGAATATTTTCGCGGAAAGCTGGTTTCCTACTTGATTATCCGCAATTGTTTGCATTAGTCGTTATCTTGGCGTGCAGCGCGATAAATACCTCAATACAATCTTAAGCTCAAAGTAGACGATTTTGATTTATCAAAACTACATTTTATTTCTGTTCTTTTTTTTTTTGGTTTCGTTGTTTGTTTTGAATGAGTGGCTCAATCGTATACAATTTTTGGGTAAGCAATTTGTGATTCTGTGTTGAACAATAATTTATTTGCTCTCGAGCAACAAAAAGTTTTCTGAAATGCAGTGATGGTTTTTCGTTAGCCAGCATTGTCTTAGCCTTGGCTTACACCAACAACTGGTGTAAGTGAATCGTTGGCCAGCTATCTGTGTGAAATGAGTACATTCAAAGTATGATATTTTTTGATTTGAGTATTTTGATTCAAATCATACAAATTAAAAAAAAATTAATATATTTCAATTAATTTTCAATTTAAAAGTCATTTTTATAATTTGAGTTAATATTTTTTCAAAAACTTAATAGAAAAAATGTCGATGTTTGGTTTCATTTAAACTCTGACTTGGTGAGTTAAATGACAGTCACAAACGTCAGCTCAGATGAGTGCGTTCAGTTCTTATTAAATTTTTCTCACTGGTCTACACATTCGTTAGCCAGTATACACTTATGCGGCCAATCAGCCAGTTAATGTGTTCTTCACTGCTGAAATGTGGATGCGCGTTCGCGTACAAAGTGAAGTTACGTTTGATGCAATCGAATAACATGGAATCTTTGGATTGGAAATCTTGAACATTTATGACAAGCAGCGCGAATTTAGTGAATACAAAAGTTCAATTTATGTCTTTATTTGAATACATTTATTTTTCTTTAGTGCATATTTTGGGTTCGACATCTGATTTAATCCCAAATTCGATGGATTTACATTTGTGAGTGCATGTGAAGCATAGAGAAACAGAAGCTCAAATCTATTTGACCGGTGGCAACTTTAGCCACTCCAAATTTTTACACGACTTGCATATCGTCGAACTTGGTCGTTTGTTTTCGTTCACGCTCTTATTTTTGCTGTTGTTGTTTTCTCTCTCGCCTTTCTTGATATCCGATAGAAATTTGGTGCCAGCATAAAATTTACTTGAGCAAAATATTCGTTCCGAAAATGATAAACGAATTCGAAATAGATCTTGACACAAACAAATGAATCGATACAAAAATGCCGTGCTGTAAATTGATTGCGACCAACGGTGCTTTAAATATGAATCAAGATCAATAATAATGTGAATTCAGTGAATAATGAAAAAGAACAGCATATAAAGTGCACGGCTTAAATCGGCTTATGAATGATGAATCTTATTGAACGTTGAAGTTTTTTTGAACAAACAAACAAAAAACAGCAACGACGAATGCTAAGCGAAATGAAAAATAGCTGCATTTGGTAAATGCTGGAACGTGATCATTAATTTCATTTTGAGAATGGGTGAGATGCCCACGACTACAAAGTCTGTTTGGTGTAAAATACATAATATTTGCATGCGACTGTCCCAGATTGGTTAAATCACACAATCAAATCGAATAAAATGCAAAGTAACCAAAGCGAAGAAAAAATAAATATTAGGAAAGAAAATTCCCAGAATAACCAGAGAAAGAAAGAAACAAAAAATGGTCGTGGAAGGCGTTAAACACGCATTGAAATGAAGTCGCTTTTGAATCTTGAATCTTGAATTTCGGTTTAGCCATCGATTACACACTTGGAAAATTGATCGTGATGCATTCCGTTGGCGCAACAAATTCCATAAACACAACATATGTATTTGACATAATCAACAACACCATAAATTACGATTCACGCATTTCTCTTCTCTATCTCTCTCTCTCCCTCTCTCTCCCTCCCTCTCTCCCCTTGTAATATAAGAATAAGGGATCACACATCCTTGTGCAGTGAAGGATAAAGTCGCTTGATCGAATGGAGAAAAAAAATATATCACAATTTATAGCCGAGTATTTGAACATCGAAATTTGTCCATCGTGTCGCGACTCCTTTTTCTTCTTGATTCCCTATGCTTGATTCCGTTGCGACATAAAGAAAGAAATAACCAAAACACCACACAACCATGACGTAAACGATTTGAAATATAAAGTAATTGGCGCCAAAAAACAATTTATTATTCAAATCGATTTAAGCGTGGTACCCGTTGTCGCGGCGACGGCAGCTGCCGCGACTGGAGCCAATGTGATTTAATTCACCACCGGTACCTTGCGCATTCCTCATTAATTTAGTGCTCTACAAGCGTTTGAATTGTGTTTTTCTCTTCATTTCTTCATATGGCTCCACTTGAACATACGCTTGCTGAAAAAAAAATGCCATTTTTTCACTCTTCCGTTGATATTAGACAGAGACGAATACAAACCATTTAAAAATTCTTGCATATTCGTCGAATGCTTTAGCGTAATTAAATACATGTTCATCAAAAACCTGTCTGCTACTCACTACTCCTTGAATTTCAAATGAATTGCCTGTTCGATCGGCATGTCATTGTATGGTGTTTTTTTTCTCTTCTTTTGCATCATTTCAACTGGACAGCAAACGAATTGATCCCATTTTGATCGAAATCCCATTTAAACATGTCGCCACATTAGGTGCATTAAGGTGTTTTGATCAATTAAACGATTCGATGTCATTTGGGTTTGTGGTGCATATTTCCTTTTGAATCACACACAACAATGTGCCCACCAAATGACACATACCGAATTCAACAGAACAAATGAAATGAATGTAAGACTGGCGCGATACACTGACTCCATGTCGCTTCTGAAGACAAACACTGTCATTCCGGACTTTAGTAGTTTTTTTTTTATTCAAGAAAACCTCAGCCAATCACACAAATAATGGATAATTGAAATTTCGTCCAAAAAAAATGAAAAAACCGTCCAAAATTTTTATAAAATCGTCCAAAATATATTACAAAAATGGAAAAAAATTTGGTCGATTTTCTCATTTTTTTGGCAGGTTTTGAAAATAAAATTATAAAAACGTCCAAATCTGTTGTCACATGACTCTCTTAGAAACAAATGGTAAGTAGAAAGAATTGTATGGTTTTGGATGGTGCAACTGCCATGCAGCTATTTTACAGCACAGAGTCATCATCGTTCGATGAATACTAAGCTTGTTTCCATCAGCGCGTGTATCAGCTAAATTTTGCTGAAAATTGGACCGAATCTACATGCTCTTGTCCATATTTCATGCAAAATCCAATTTGCAAGCACACCCTCGCAATCGCTTTACTCAAGCGTGTAGTTTTGTGCATGCCCGAGTCTAACCCCTTAGTTCTCGGACAGAAGCCGAAACGCGGCCAAAAATCAAACGCCAAATCGGCCTTGCACAAGCCGAAAAATTGATTATTGTAAACTCAAAGCACTCTACAATCAACATGGATCTGCTTGAACTGACGTAAAACTTTTCGTCAATTTATCTACCGGTATAAATTGAATGATGACTTTCGCAGTCCTAGAGTCACAAACTAAACGTGTAATTACGCTAATAACCTTACGCTTCACATAGCCTTTGTCCTTCTGGAAACGTTTACCATAGGTTATTCTGGACCGTTTTTCATCGGACCACTTACCAAGCATTTCCATCTTGATTGTATGATATATGTTTTTATGTTATTTCAAAGAGATACTTTTTAACTTGATTCAGCCAGAGCTTGGCTGTGTTAAATAAAAAATAAATAGATATATACAATACAGATCTGCGATCATTTTCGAAAAAGTAATAGTACAACTGATTTGTGAACATTCACTCGATTTATTTCAATCGAACTACGGAAATAAATTCAAAAATCAAAACCATACAATTCTTTCTACTTACCATTTGTTTCTAAGAGAGTCATGTGAAGAAACGGTAGGCTTTTGTCATGAATCCAAATTCATTTTTCGAAAAATTGTGGATGAAATTCAAAATATTTTGGAAGGTTTTCTAAATATTTTGTGCGATTTCCGAAATATTTTGGACGAATTTCGAATAATTTTATACGAAATTCTAATTTCAGAGTTGGAGACGAAAACAGATTTGGACGTTTTTATAATTTTATTTTCAAAACCGGCCAAAAAAAATATGAGAAAATCGATCAAATTTTTTTCCATTTTTGTAATATTTTTTGGACGATTTTATAAACATTTTGGACGGTTTTTTCATTTTTTTGGACGATTTCTGAAGCAACCACAAATAATCGACATTAAATAGCATCATAACTCAAACATTTTACAATGTTTACACACATCAACTCAGTCATCAAATCAAAACTCAGTCCATTTCTACTAAAAAAAACATGTTTCACAATGAAAAGAAATGATTTTTTAATGATAAACTAATTAGGAAATTCCTATTCTGATATCTCGAGTCCTTTTTTTAGTCGGAGACTGATCCCCAAAGTGTGTTCATTGTGACGTGACGTAAATAATAAGAATTCGAGTAGAAAGAAAGAGAGCGATCGTCTATCCATTCAAATTGGATGATTCAACTTTCGAAAAAAAAAGAAAAATTACCCACGGCATCACAGAATCTCATTGCCGTCATTCGATGGCATAAATTAGATGAGCGATCAATACGAAAACAATGGTTGATGTCATTTCCAAAAAATTCAATATTTTTGCTATTACATCGATCCATATCGCAAATCCGCTATTGGGTCGATGGCCATCACGACAACAACGACAACAAAGAAGACGACAAACGAGAAAATTCTTAGGTAGCAGAAATTCGGTAGCCGTCAACCTCGAATTTCGTGTCCACACATATTGACATACACGATTTGATGTTATTTATATTTATTTGGGGCTTTTTGGGGCGATTACAACCAACCGATAAGCAACCGACGACACCGAGTCGTGACCATTTGCATTTAATTACATACATTATCTATGACTTCAAGCAGAAGAAATGCCAACAGGAACGAAAAATAAACACACAACAACTGAACAGGCATTTAACCAAAAAAAAAAACCAATCCGCACAACAATTCCGACGACGATGAATCGAAGAATTCAAAGTGCTTCGATTAAGGCGCGATCATTGTTTTCTTTTGATTGCACACGATTTTCGGGCGTTAAAGGTGAACACACCGAAGAGATAAAACTGAAATCTACATCAATTAGGCTACCACATAAATTTATGGAATTTATCACTAAATTAGCCATGACGCGAGATTCACGCTACGGCTACACTCTCTATCGGTAAAAATATCGATTACTGTCAAAATAATCAACTTTATTACGGCTAGTTGCTCGATGTATACGACGTAAAAATATCATTGATAATAATCAATATATGGTGTTTTTTTATGGCTATAACATTGGCCTTCACATACAAAATCAAAGATTCAACGCAGAAAAAATTAATCAAACAGATTGTTTACTTGTTCAATGATTCAGAAAGAGAGAAACAAAAAGTGATCCTATTACACAAAATCGCTCCAAAGATGCACATACTTAGACGCTTAGTTCATCTACTTTCATTGGGCGAAATACACTTGTTTGTTGTTTGTCATTATCCCATCGCAATGATTTTAACACCCCCACAGCATCGTAGTGTTTGTCATTGAATGTCCTTCTTTGGCAAAATGTGCAATTAACTGTTTCTCCTCTTCTTCTTCTTCTTTTTTTTGGTTGATTTTACGAGATTTTTTGCTCCTTCTGGTCGCGTCATATTTTATCTGTATGCACAATCAAAGTATATGGCCATTTAGCACATAGCCTTTATTAGATAAGCGCGGCAAAAGAGATTAGCATGGCTTTTGTTTTCATTTTGATCACTGTCATTTTCAATATCAAACGCGTCCCGTCTTATGCTTTGCTCTGTGTATAATTTTTTTTTGCTGCTGCTGCGTATTCGAGAGCCGCCATGTCGTTATTAGAATTGGTCCAGATACACAAAAACCCAATCTAAATGGAGACATTTAAAGTCATAAATAAGGCTAAATGCGATATCAAGTTAGATGATGATCCAAAATCACACTATACCAAAAAAAAAACACACATCCGAATAGCAAGAACAAAAGCGCACATTTTCGAAATGGAATTGTGGAATTTCTCGTCTGTCTTTTTGAAATTTATGGTATTAATCAAACAAACAAACGAAAAAAAAAAAATACATATACAACGAACAATTTGGACATCGAAACTACATTTAAGTCGCGCTCATCGATGATGGCGGATTACATTGATTCCGAAACGGAACACTGAAAAAAAAAATACTGGAGTAATAAAACGAATAATACCTTTTACAAAGCAATTTTATTTGATTGAAATAGATCCACAGGCGCGAAATCAACGGTGTGTGCTATAATAACCGGATGGCGTTGACTCAACGCCGTCGAGTCGATGATCACATTCAACAACGTCTCATTTTATTGGCATTCCACCGGATTGGCTTATCGTTTTCCTTTCTATTCAAAGTGGTTCTTTTTCTATTTTCTAGAAACTTTTTTCTTTTGTCAATAACAAACAGAATTTTATAAATAATCAATTAATTTATTCTTGCTGTAGCGCATCATGCATATATGGTGGTATCGGTGAGAGTGTCCAAAAATACCAATGATCAAGAAATGTTATTGAATATAACGTTCATGTTTGGCAAACTGACAAGGCTCCGCAGTTCTGAGAAGAAGAAAAAACCGCCCGTCGAAAGGTAGCCACGAAACGGAAAAAACGAACGAATGCAACACACCACCGAACAAGAGAGAGGGAGATCAATGGACTCTTTACACATTGCAAACTGAGCAGCAAAGCCAATAACCTTTCAATTTTCGAATTATGCACCATTTAATTGTAAATTGAATGCAACGAATGTTTTCGTTGCGGGATATTGTGCACCGGCCGCCCGACAACGGAATATGCGAAAAGGCGACCAGTCACAAGTCTTATATTCATTTGATTTGTGGTTTGTGGTCAATTGGTTCCACGCACACACTCACTCACTCGTTTGTTTGCGACCAAACTTTTCCGCATTGAGCCCTAACATCCGAGCTCAACAAAGCTGCATCCATAAATTATGCACGCGCGCATATTCATTTTGCTTACCTCAATTCAATTTTCGCGATGGTTTCTTCGAAATTTTCATTAGCATCGTTTATATTCATCTCTGCTCTTCGTTTTTTTTTTTTTTTGGCCAAAGCCAATTTGCAAATGCTTCTGCACACAAAGGCACAAACAATCATTGTATTGGCGAATAATTTTAGTGAGACAGAGGCGTCGCCTTATCTTAGTTCCGGCAAATGTTTTTCGGTTATTGTTGCATTTTTTAACACATTCGACTCCATTCGCATGCATTACTTTATTTGGTGTTATGTTCGAAAAACACATCATCTTATTGGTAATCTCTTTCAAATTAAATGCATTTTTCACAGCTTTTCCCCCTCTCTCTCCTCGCTCCAAATTATCTTATCTTATCCATGTGGTTTTTATTCATGCCATTTTAGCAAAAAAAAAATCTTTTCAAAGACTTTCATATGAGTAGTTCGGAGTGAAAATGTAATACAGGAAAGTTGCGCGGAAAAATGTCAAATGAATAGAGATAGCTATATAGTTCACTATAGTTTACTATACACTATAGTTACAAAAGCTATATAGCTATCCCTTTTCCGCTCATTCATCATCGACATTTTTCCGCGCAACTTTTCTGTATTACATTTTCGCTCCGAACTATTCATATAGTCAACCTGAAGGATAATACATATTTCCGAGCAAAATGCAGTAGTAGCTTTTATGTTTAAACAGCAAACGACTACTGCGCGCTCATTGGTTTCTATGGAACAAAGATAAATTGACTGCAATCATTATTGATTTAACCGAACAGTTGTTCGTTTCATTTTTTTACTGCTCTGTTGCTTTGTACGGTATCACAACGCGAGATACAACAGTAATTGGGAGATCACTCCAAAATAAATGGGTACAAGGAAAAAAAATCAAGCGCATTTTATTTGAAAATCAACGGGAGGATTTTCAGAATTGATTATGTGCCTCTTTACCGTCCGTGTTTCTTCCATTCTTTCTATATGTGTGATAAAAAAAAAACGCGTTTTCACTGAATGGCCCAAATGCTCATCATATTCAAATGTCAGTTTTTATCACAACATATGCAGTTTGGTCACTGGATTCTGTTTTTTCTTTGTAATCGATCCCGATTTAAAAATAATTCTCTCTGGGGCTAGATTGAAAACATCCCAATTAAAAAGCAGCCGCATGAACCTCTGAAAAAATATTTAAAAAAATGCTAACAGAGACAAACACCACATTTGAAAGCCAACCACATTATAGACTAACGAAAAATTTAAAAATAATTTGTAATAAAGTAGCTGCTGGGCTCCGGTAATCATAAGCTCATTTTGGGCGCATGCTGACATCAAATGTGCTGGCGCGCGGAAAACTGGCGACAACAGCTATTCAAAATACACAGGCCGATGAATCAACCAAAATACACACACACTCTCTCTCTCTCTCTCTCTCTCTCTCTCTTCGTGGTTTGCATGTATGTCTTTGAGATATGAATGCACACACACATTTTTATTTCACCCAAAATTTTTCATTCGTTATTATTATTGTTGTTGTTGCCGTTGCTAGTTTTGTTTTGTGCTGTTGCTTCTATTTCTTCTTCGCCCGCTTCAGATATGCGAGAGAGTCGAGTATAATGACCAGTTTATTTGTTTGTTGTTTCGGTTTTGTTTTTTGTTTACTTCGAACTTTACCGAATTTGTTGTGTTTGTTGTTGTTGTCGTCGTTGTGCTCTTTTTTCTTCGGCAATTTGTAGTCGTTTGTCTGTCACACTTGTAGCTGTTGTATGTGCTCTGATTGAATCGATTTTTGGTATGGTCAATGCATCACTGCGACACACAAACCATTCACGAATGAATTGGACAGCAGCAGCAGTAAATGAAATGATAAAACGAAAAATCAGAATCAGAATACAATGATGAGAATGGGCGAAAGAAACAATAACAACAACGGCCGAGAGATGAATACATAAAAATGATACAGCTCGCATGCACCCACACAGATGCACACACTTAATAGCGAATTTATCGCAACAATTTTTCGTTTGTTTGTTGGTGTCATTTTTCGTCTTACTCATTGCTATTGGCCCATTCGCAACTGGTTGCTCTTTCAAACTAACTCACTCACATACGCGCGATATATTGCGATTCTAAGGTGCTTTTGGAAATATTTGTTTTCTTTTTTTTTTTTTCTTTCTTTTCTTCTTCTCTCATTTCATATATTTTGGTTTTTCGGCTGATGATGCATTTGGTGTGTTCGCGATCCAAGGCAGCCACTTAGTATTTAAACACGGCGTGCAGAATCCCGAATCAACTCATTCCTCCCAGGACTTCGAAGAAGATAGTTCATACAGCCGTGACTGCTGCTTAAGATTTTGTAGTTTTTAAACCAATATTTTCGAAAATCAATCCTCAGATAGAATTCACACACAGTGGACGGACATACATTTTAAAAGTAACGAATTTTGTTCTAAGTGCCATAAAAGAATTGGTGGATTGAATTTCTCGCGAGTCAGAAGCCGGACGAAACTCACAGTGTGCAGAAAATTGAAGTGCCAGTTGATCATTTTCCAGTGTCTTACATTTTTCAACACAACATTTGCAATTTAGTTTCCAAAATGAATTCAATCATTTTTATTTTTTCGGTTAGTCGAATTTCAGATTCAGGCCTTTTTTAGACCGTTATTACCCAAAAATTCTGTTTAATGGTGCACTTTTGCATTTTGTTGAATGGATTTTGTTTTTCAAACACAAGTTAATATTTTGTTTTGTTTTTTTTTTTCATTCCAATGTTAGATTTCACTCGTGATAAGTGTATTACTCGTTAACGCCGATGAAGATGGAAAATATGATGCTCGCAGATACAATCAAAATTCAGGTATGTATATATACGGAAATATTCAACCATTTCGATATAGATTTATTTATTCAGCCAATTTTCATATGAGTCACACGTAAATCACAATTCGATTCTCCATTTCGAATTGGATCCTACTTCAATTTTACGGCCGTGATTCAAAAGCTTTCTATACTTTATGTTCTGGTTACGAAAATCCAACATTGTTCATTTATCGATCGTTTTTTTTTTCGTTAAACCTAGCTACTATTTTTCCACTCAAATTAAAGTCGAATGAATTCGATGTTCAGCGTAGCCGCGTCTGTCTTTATTCTTATTCTTTTTCGCCAAATGAATCTCAACGATCAATTAAATTCTTTGTATCTACTCAGTAATCGGTGGATATTTTTCAATCGTATACTTTTACTCCTCTGACAATCAGTAATGTTTTGCATTTATTCGCTAATTGCTGCAAAGCGATAACCCTACATATAAAAACGAATAATTTACAATCGTAGTCGTCATGGTCGTTGCATGGAATGCACTACCAATCTTTTGTGTGTTTTCCACTAATGAGTTTGCACATTTTCAATTGGTTGAGCATTAGATCAGCAAATTAAAGGAATTCAATACATTTCGAATGCAACACATTCATACATTATATGTGTTTTTTTTTTTTAACTAGTACTATTTCATTCGTTTTATTGTGCCGCACTGCAAATGTCATACTCTCGGCGATAGAAAATTGCCACCATAGGCACCCATTAATCGTCTCTAATTACTGCCGATGAATCCATAGACATCGACATTTTATGTTGTCGATTATTTGCTTGAAAATAAACGGGAATTAGCAACGTTTGCAAGCAATACCAGTATTTTTTTCTCTATTGTGGTGCCATGAATCAGCCGGTCAAATTTGAATGGAAATGTTTTCCGATTAGATGTTGAATTGACGTTTGGCACTGACGCGTCACACAAATTTCACATTAATGGAATTGACAAATCGATCTATAAATTTCAATTTTAATTAAATCCACCGCGAGCTTTGTTTGCTTGAATCCGATGATCGCCATTATTGCGTATATGTGACACTCCCATAGTGTCATACTGGCCAAATTATTCAATGAAATGTCAAGAGAAGATATTCACTTCCGGTCTATTTATTATCCTGTGCCACAACGACGATGTCATGCTTTTTTTGGTGTGCAATGCGGATTTGCTTTCTGCTCTCGGGCCAGCCCCGTTGAATGACTTTAACACACTATTATGAATTCAAGAATGCGGTTCAATCTGAATAAGCTCCATGATATTTAGTTTATATACAATAGACAATAATTTATACTAAATGCTGAATAGCCGTTAATAGATTATTTTCAAATATTGAATTCTTGTGGTAACGTCATATTGCAAAAGCGATTCGCATTTTGAATCACAAATCGGTTTGACAACCGATGATGATGACGATGCCGGCCGAGTTGTGGTGGTTTACATCTTATTTTCGTCACCAATGTTCACAGCTATTTATATATAGTTGCACAAACCTCAGAACGATTGCCAGATAATCGAATCGCTTTAATCGATTTGTAATAAAAATTTCAGCATAGGCACAGACCGATTATGTGACAAATTTAGAAGAAGCAAAAAAACATAAGATTCTCAACATTTTCCTAAGTATCGAAAAAGGTCCTTTCTTTTTTTTTATCGACACAAATTCGGCAATAACATATGCAAAGCGCAACAACAACAACAAAAACAGACATAAAAACGTTAAAATCACAAATAATAAGTAGGGGGCAGAGTGCATGGAGAAAGGTGAAAGATTTGGTGTTGAATGTGTTTTTTCTCTCTTTAAGTGTTTGTGTGCTCGTTTCAATCCATTCATATGATAATCAAACAGATTTATCAAGATAAAGTACAGGATACAAAGAACACTCGTTTGCCCCCTGACACACACTCACACATATTACACGACGCGTCGCCTAAAAGCTATCGAAATCTTTTGGATGGCAAATCAAACGAATGTAAAACATCAAGTGTACATGCATAGAGCAACAAACTGCGCTGTAAATGGAAAATATTCAGCAATGAATGCTCTAACGGCATCTATACGGTATAATTTGAAAGTATAAGTAAATGCTTTCGTCATAAGGTTTACCCAAATGTTGGAAATGGCATTTGTCAGAAATGACATTTTAAACGTCATTCATAATTGAAGTCAGTGATTTTCCGATGGAGACAAAAGCAATACAAACTGAACTCTGAACGGTTTTGGATTTGCTGAATATATTACCATAGCGCTTCACTGTGTTGGCATAGAGTGTTGTAGAGGCTACGAAATAAGGAAAAAAATAACAACAAAAACAATACATACACACTTCACAGTTCACTTGAATTGGTGCATGTCTAGCGAAAGAAGAACGAAAAATGTGAAAGAGAAAGAGCCAAAGCAAAATAAACGAGAGATGATAGGCAACGAAACAGACAAATGCAAACAAAATCACAAATGACATTAATATTTATTTACATTTAATTCAAAGGCGTTTGCGAATGCAGGAAAAAAAAGAGTGGTAAACATACAAACGCAAACACACACGATATTCCAAATGTGGTGCGCTCAACATCAGTCAGCGTAACGGTATTTCAATTTCTGGAATTTGTGTTCCATATTTGCTGCGATGACACAACGTCCGTAATGTGATTGAACAGTCAGAAAATTTGAGCGATCTTTTCGCGCGTTTACCATTGCTATCCATACACACTGCATGTTGTCTGACAGTTTTCACTCTCATCTTTCCACACGCTTCCCGAAAGAAAAATCTAGTGTATTTTAGTCGACTTTTGATGTGTGTGTGTGTGTGTGTGTTTATGTGTATTTAGATTGTAAAAAGACACACTTGAGTACATCATTTGCAAGACATTTCGACTGGATCATACCAACTCTCTCTGGCACTTGGCCCAAGTATTACTTATATACATCTTGTTACGATTCAGCCGAGTGAGTGAAATGGGTGCAAATAATAATCCGTACAGGAGAAGAAAAAACACAGAAGAAAACGCGGGCAAAACACACGATACATACAAAGTACACTCGCTTCAATTTTTTTCCCTTTTTTTCTTGAGGAAGCGTTGAGCAAATATTACAAATATTTCCATTTGTTATCACATTCCAATTCCATTTTCATTTGTTAGTGAATTTTCAATAGATTCACAATACACTCGAGCTATTCATATACACTTGCATGTGCGCGCTCGCTGTAAACACAATGTTTCTTTCTCGCTCCCTCTCTCTATGTATCACATATGAGAGTCCCTTATCCTTAACGTTTGAGTCAATACTTTAGCCGTGTGAGTGGAGGTAGCATAGAGAGAAAGAGGAAAGAACACAGCACGTAAAATACAGAGAGAAAATACGTTTGAACGTTAAACACGAATATATCAGACTCATACACAAGCTTTTGAAAAAACAAAGACTGAATACCGTTAACGTGTATTCCATCCTTCGTAATCTCGTTCACCACTAGATCGAGTATTTTTGCATACTTTGGGACGTTTTACCAAGTTGCGTACAGTATTTTTTTTTTTACATCTCTTCTCTTCTTTTTGTTTGTCAAGAGAGAATAAAAAAATAAGCTCATAAAATACGAACAATTTTATTTGCAAAACAAAGTAGAAAAAATGCATTCTTTCTAAGTGGCTTTTCATTTGTGTATTAGCTAACCAACTTGATATCGTTCGCTGTTTTGGTCGAGAGCCAGAACCAAACCTATAAGTTTGGTTATATATTTGAATGTATTTTGATCGCATGAAAATCGAATTTATCTACATGAATGTTACAAATAGAAGATAGTGAATTCGTAGCATGTTGAAAATCATCGGATATGACACATTTGTTTCCTTAATTTTGAATTGCATTTGAAATTGGCTTGTATCATTAATGATGTGAGACTTTAACGTTGCTGTTTCTTTAACTCGGTTTCATCAAACAGAAAAATCATGAACAACGTATAAAGCGAAAAGCTCATTAAAAATTTACACAAATCTCAAGCTTGTGACAGCACACACACACACACACACACACCGCTAAAATAATAGATTCAAAAATAAGAGAATGAGAGAAAGAAAAGTGCTTAGAGTAAAGTGCTCGCATGGATGACTTATATTATATTCTCAAGTATGTCTCTTTTGCCTGTGCTAAACAACTTGCTTCATTCATTTTAAAAAAAATGTATGATGTGAAAACACGTACGTATGTTTCATTTATTTCAATTGGGGAAGAGAAATGTCGTTTATGATTTTACCGTTTGAATGCCGCGTGTATCCAGATCAAAACCAAAATGATTCAAAGAACTTTTCAAATAAAGTTTCTTATGTTTTTTTTTCATCAAAGCTTTGATGGGTTTTTTTCTTTTCTTTTACGATCCTTTTTCATCAGCCTCTAGATACACAACGAATATATTTCGCAACGATTGTTATGTGTGTGTGTGTGTGTGTGTGTGTGTGTGTGTGTGTGTTGGTTTGTGGATGCTTTTTCGTTTTTCCTTTCCCTGTAATCGAAAGACTAATAAAGTGAACCGATTATGAAGGTAATAAAATCCCATAAATAAATCGATTTTATCGCGAGATACACTCATACAATTCTCAAGCGGAAATGAAATCTCTAGCACAATGATTAAACTTCTTATAATTGCGCAAAAGTGTACGTGATTCTGTCGCTCGTTTTTTCTCATTGTTCTGAGTAGCTTGAAGCGGAATACGTAATAAGGAAGCGTTACAACCAGTAATGAATCATTGGCAAACAAATCGCTTTTTCTGTTTCGATCTGTTAATCGATTCGTGAGTAAATTAAACGAAAAAAAGTCAAGCTAAAAATTTAACATCGCGTCAATTGATTGAATGTATCGACCCTTTCGGTGAATTGATAGAAAATATGCAAACGACTACTATGGTATAGGTTAATTTCCCATCTGAATGTAGAGTCGAATATCATACAAAACGAGCATCGTATCGGCATCAAAAAAACATGTTTACACCCAAACCCACACACACACACACACACACACACACACTCGTACCAATTTGAACAAACCGAAGTCAACGATAATTAATCGGTTTAGTCCTTTGCGAGTTTTGTTCATCTATTTATTTAATGACTCTCCAAAGCAATCAGCTTGTGGTATTGACCATCGTTAAGCTTTTATTTTTGATGTGTATGTGTAAGAGAGTGCAAAAGTATTGAGAAAAAAAAGTCTCTAAATTTGAACGTGCTTCCAATTCTATGGGTGAGATCGAGAGTGGTGTATGTTCGAACAAATTGGCTATACAAAAGAGAAGTATGTATCATCGAATTTTAACGTTGTTAAAGAGGTGTATGTTTTTAGAATAGTTTCGATC